CCCCCCATAGAAGACTGCAGTTTTAAAGAAAAAAAAAACTTTCAACGAAATAAAAGCCTGTACTCTCTACAAGAAACATAGCAATGAACACAGTTAAAAACCTCGAAAGCGCACGTGTGGTTTAACTTCTTGTATAGATGCAAGAGTGGGAAACACAGTCAGGATTGGAGGCCACTGAAATAATACTATGGTATTTGAGGAGAATACCCCAAATCTCAAGAACAGTTTTAAAAAATCAACAAAATAGAACGCGCTCCAAAAGGGCATGTTGCAAAAGATGTGTAGTAAGAATATTATGGGTTTCAAAACACATGTGCAAGTTTGTGTGAGCTGGACGTTATAAAATTGGGTGCAAATCTATGCACACTTTGGCAAATCAGCCAGCAAACTTTCATGACCTTTTGACTCCGTCATATAATACATGTATGCATCACTTATCAAGTTTCCCTCTCCGTTTGAATCAGCAAGTTTATAACATTATTACAGCAGTTCATTTTAAACTTTTTGCCATCTTAAAGGAAAATCCATTTAACAGGCTCTTTCTCAAAGGCAAATTTGTGAGATAACCATCGTCTATCCAAGGTCAAAGATTTATTAGATGACCCCTCTTTTCACGTTTTATTTCCACGTGCACTCCCATTTTGTCCCCGCATTGTCGTAGGGCAGTTTTTGCAGCCAGAGCCGGTTTTTCCCGATGAGATTATTCAGGTCCCGAGACACAGCCCCACCGCCAAGCGAGAAGTGAACTCTCCGGTTTGTCCTGGGCCAATGGACGGAGACAGCTTAGACTCATCTACATAGATTTCCAAGAATTTTTCAGACAACTTTTAGGGCTCACTCAAACGTGTTATTGCATTTGGGCCCCTCATTCGAAAGCCATAGGCGCGCAATGATGATAAACTTGGTGTCGACAAAAAGACAAAGGCTGGATGAGAGGGGGAGAGAAAGACAGAGAGATGATGAAAGAGCTAGAAAGAAAGAGGGAGAAAAAGACAGAGCTAGAATAGAGTGAAAAGGGTTAGGGAAGAGGGTGTGTGAGTGAGGGAGTGAGTGTGTGTGTGTGTGTGTGTGTGTGTGTGTGTGTGTGTGTGTATGTGTGTTTGTATGTGTGTGTGTGTGACATAGAGAG